TTTGGTAACAGATTGATATCAAAGTCGTAGTATCGCCCACCCCTCACGTAAAGGAATACTCCGAGGATGCGAACTGACAGAAAAAAGCACCGATTTTGTCAAAACTCAGGAGTGAAAAAAAAAACTTTCTGCTTACAGAACAACTGTACAACGCACTAATAGAATAAAAGTCATCATATTTTGCTTTTTATTGGGAGAAATGGAGGTGAAGTGGAGGCAGTAGCTGACATGTATTCAGTAAAAGAGATTTATTTGGCCAAAAGCCACACGAAGTACCTCTGCAAAGCCTTTGGTCACAGAGTGACAGTCATCATTCAACTTATTTATGGACATACATGTCTGTGTTTCAGCCTTTTATTCACAGAAATTTGTGTTTTATTATGCAGAGCTGCCAAGTGAACGCCCCTTCTTTTGGGGGAATAGATAGTGGTAAGATAAAAAAATTAGCCCTTTTTAATTTCTGTTTTGAAGTAATTTTCTTTTTTGCTATCTGAAACAGAAAATGAAGTCATTTTAAGAATTTTGTTCATCCCTTTTTGACACTAAGAATGAGAAACGCTTTGTATTTTAATTTTGATTTTAGTGTTTTAAAACAAAAATCTAATAGCCACTCGTTTCTTGTGTTTTAATACCCGTTTATAAAATGAAAATCCAATGACCAAAACATACACTGACCACTAATGAAACCCAAGTGAGTGTGTGGTAATAAAATTAAAAAATTAAAAATTCTAAATGTTTGCAACTATATTTTAAGTGTTTTATGTTGGCAGATTCKGAAAACTTTGAAAAGAGATCAGAGTGGAAAACCATACAAAGCTGTCAAATCCTTCAAATGAAATTCACAGAGTTGTGCGAAGCTGCTGTGAGACAAATCCTCTCTTTGGTCGGGGTCAGTAAACGGGTTCACCAAACACACTCCATCACTCGGCGTGTTTCTGTATGGGAGTGTGTGTGTGTTCAGAAAGGCATTTAGAGGTCCCAGTCGGCATTTGATCTCTGACCCTCATATTTATTGACGCTCACTTTTACTGTATAATTCAAATGTTGAAGGTTAAAATAAAAACGGCAGCCTGAGACAATGATGGTGGAATAAAACAGAGTCCTTCTGCTTATTTTTTTTCAGAAACAATGTTTTTATTATATATAATATACAGAAGTTTCTAAAAGCTGCACATATTGTGACATTTGGCCACTGCATTCTTATTATTTTAACAAAAATCAACAATTTGTCCATTCATGTTAAATGCCTTTTAAAAGTGACACAGTATTTCTTTTGAAACATCACAATTATCTGCAAACCCTTTATTATTATTGGTTATTAGCCAGGTTAATTATTTTCCTTAAATAACCACAAGCGAACCAATCTAAGCATGTCAGCATCAACCGCAGTGATTCACAAACCACATGTATTTACCTCCACAACCACTTGCTCATTCTTTTCAGTGATGCTGTCCTCTTAGACCCTCCCTGTTTCACTGAGTTGGGAGGCAAACACAAAAACTGCACTCTAATCATGACAGCTGTCGTTCTCCTTCTCCTAAATGATCCAGCCTATTTTCAACCATCAGTTCAAATGTATAATAGGGTAAATAGTTTCATAGTTCCTCAATGATTGTYTTGCCAAATACGTTGCTTTTTTTGTTCACATATGATTATTTTAGTTTTGACTCTCAACTGATTCTTAAGTAATCAACAGGTAGCGCACATTAGGTAGAATCCATTCTTTTGTACCTGCAGGGTGACTCTATAGGACCTTTGTGGTGTTCTTTTTTTCACATTTGGTAGATTCTGTCTTTTTTTTTGCACTGACAAAACCAAACCCTTCCTGACTTTCTGAGTGTGTTTCTTACCTTGTTATTTGCTGCACCGATGGCCAGAGTCGGGGATGCCCCTCCTGACATGATGCAGTCCATTCTCAGAGACTCTGACTCCAGACTATAAGGGGTCGATGCCTGAAAACAGAGCGCAACAGAGAAATGATTCAAAGAAAGCACTGATCAAAAGGTATATTTTCATATGAGGTCACTCATTATGAAGGTGTTTACTTCAAAGTCCTTGGCTTTTGCCAAATAGTAATGATTGCTTTCTTTAGGAATGGGAAAGAACAATACCTTAAATAAATCATTACTGTTGACCTTCTAAAGCTTTTTCTTTAACTCTACTATAACAAAGACGAATAAAACATGTCATTCTTGGCCACAACTAATCTTTATTGGCTATTTTAGTTATTGGCATTAGCAGCAGAAGTAGTTTTCCAACAATATATGTGACAACAAAATATATTTTCCTCAGAGATTAATAAAGTTTTCTTCAATGTAAAGGCAATTTTGCCAAGAAAACATGCACAAAACTTTTTCTGTGCACTTCCTGTACTTCAGCCCCTCAAAAACTGTACCTAATTATCTGTGAATCTTCTCTGTCAAAGTTTGTGTTTGTTTGTGGAAGTTTATTCTGCTGCAATTGCCTGCCATCTGTGTCAAAATTCAAGCTGAAGACATTTTGATAGAACTGTAGCTTTAGCAACAAGCTACACCGACTTTGCTCAGCTCATTGGTACGCATACTTAGAGAGTAGTAAAAGGCAAAAAGAAAATGACGTGAGCTTGAATCATTAGTCGTGACATTAAATAAAGCAAAGCATGGCGCCAAATGGCGTTAACGTTTTTTACTAACGCTGTGAGACGTGAGCCTTTTTCTGCTACTTAGTATGCACTTCGTTTTCAAAAGCAGCTTCTTCTGATTGGAACTATCCAGAGGAGTTTGGCAGCGAGGAGGGAAATGAAACGTGACAAAAGGTTATGAAGAAATTTTAGCGTGCTTCAAGTTCATGATTCCTTGGCGAGCCTCCTGATTCACCACCACGCCCCGAGCTGAAAACCGTGTGAACAAGCTGAGACGTGCTTCATGTAAATTACCGGACACTTAAACAGCGAAGGAAAGTGGGCAACATCACTTGCACTTGCCGAGATGAATCAAGCCCCGCCGCATGCATTATTCAAGGGTCTAAAATATATTCGGCTGCATTTCATCCTCATCAAGAGCCAAAGCAAGGTTAACTCAATATGAGAAACTATTCAAAGATTGATGAGGGGGCAACACTGACACCTAGGAAATCTTTTTTTAAAAATGAGCAAGATGTATGTTTTTTTTTCTTCCCACCCTGTCTGACTTCTTTCAGGGTTCAAGGCAGCATGCATGCCTCCCCAAACATCTTACAGTAAGMGGATTGGTTGGTAACAATGCAATCTTTAATTTATGATAAACTCCCAGACAAACGGGTTGCCGGTTCCCTGGTGGCGGCACTTAGAAAGAAGACAGCAGAGAGGTGAAGAAAGAAGTAAAGAAAATAAATAAAAAAGGCTTGTGAAAAGGGGGGTGGGCAAAGAATAGTTAGATAATTGAGTGGTGACAGGCAGATGGAGAGGCATACATAAAATGAAAGGGTGTGATTATTCTGAAGGCACCGCAGACATAACTACGAGACTAAACGTACACGGTGTACACATTAACACAATGCAGCTGACGTTTAGCGTCATTTTTAACTCTTCACGCCTGTGTAGCCCAGGTGCAACAAAACCCCAATAAATTTAAAAAAAACACAAAGACATATTTAGTCCACCTTTTTTGTCTCCCCAGACAGTAATACTGCCATAAATCTTAGCATTTAAAACCTCCTATTTTCTCCTTTGCCCATGTGACAGCCCACAGTGTGTCTGCCAGCAGTGCAAGTGAGGCATAAGAAAAGGGGTCGAAGGGCCCATCTATGTAAGACGAGATGACAAGGCTCTGAATTAATTAATGTTTGTAATAAAAAAAATCGTTGGTGAAGAAAATATGTCTAACTGCAGCCCCAGGGCCTTCGGTGGTAATTAACTGGAACACAAGCCTAGAACACTCCCTCCTCCTCTTCCTTCAACTCCTCTGACTTCTTTTTCTTGCTCCTTGCAGCTTGACTTTTTCCCTCTACACCCTGTCTACCTTGACATCTGTTTCTCTTCGTTTCTGCATCCTTTCTTTGCAGCACTTTTATTTTTTTATACTCCTCCAGGCAACCCTTCCTGTCTTGTTTTACCTCGAGTCTTCCTCTATTGAGCAACAGTGATTGTGCGCTTTGCCGCTCCATGCCCACCCGAGCTTCCCGGGAGACAGGAAGGGTAACGCAAGGCAGCAACATGGACAGAGAGGGAGAGACGCGTGTGGCAGACGAAGGGACAGATAATAGTCACGTTGCAACAAACTGCGACATAGATGGTAGACGAAAGATGGTGAATAACAACGTTTATTTTTTAATGCAGCAGCCCAGTCTGCTGCACGTTTAGAAAAATCTCAATTAAAACAATGCAAATTGTTTTTTTTATTCTGTCCACAAGAATTCCTTCCTAAATTACGAGCTCTGATTAGATGTTAATTAGATGTTAACTTCTGATTCTTACTTCTGTGGTGAGAACTCAGGCATTTTTTTCTTCTAATGACTCTTTCATTAATTTGTGCTGCTATAGCTGCACGGAAAAACAGCACACCAAGACCAAAGGCATTTATCTAGCCCCCGTGGTCTTTGCAACCTCGACTGTTCATGTTAACTCTCAATCACTAATTACACTCCAAACCGTAAATAGGACTGTCTGTGAATAGTTAGTTATATTCATGTCTTTTAATGCTTTGTGGGGATCAGTTATTTGAATTTTAAAGCGAGTCTATTGTGCTCCGAGCACACTGATTGTTAGGTTTGAAGCGGAGTATTTTAAAAATCATTTTAATTTGCATTAATTGGCCTTTTCCTGATAGTGACTATGAACAAGCAACAAGCCTAAAAAGGAAATTAAAACTCACACATACACACAAAACTCACTAAAAGTGTTGAACAGAGTGTTTAACACTTTGAAGTTCAGGTAATCTTGAATTCAAAAACTGTTAACACAACCAGGTATTTTCATTACAGACATCCACACCCACATAACATTGTATGATCTGTATGTACATGTCAAGCCTGGAGCACAGTTTGTTGGAATAATAACCACAAGCATTTTCATCACCTAATGTGTTAAGTTCTCTACTTGTCAGTTTGGTTGAAATACATTTTTGTCAATAAACTGAACTAGTTCCAGGAGTGCTAATTAAGAGCTGGGGAAATAAAAACTACACGCAAAATCTGCAAGTAGACATAAAGAACCAAAACAACAGTGACGACTGAAGGCAGAGGTGGCACAAGGCTTGCAACACATCATGGAACAAACTCTGCACTACTTCTGTATTCAGATTTGCAGGTTAATGACTGAACGCCAGCCGCACTCTGCCGAGCTGATGCAGGGTTGCGTGTATTTATAGCCTCATCTGCTGTCAATCAATGTTTCAAAACCAGTCTTCATTCCTGCCGCAGAGTTCTCACATCTATCCTGGAGCTCGTTCATACTTTTTGCTGTGGCATCGCAAAAACTGCAATCCAGGAGCCTGTGGTTAACACAGGGGCATGCATGTTTATAATTGTGTAATCACAAGCACTGGTTCTGTAAAATACATACATGTCATAGATGTGGTATTTTCTTGTGACACTGGTGGACTTTATTTTTTATTTTTTTGCTTATTTTTGGTTGCACTTTTTTCCTTTGTCAGCTGATAAGTGAGTGAACATTAGTGAAACACATCCTCTGTAAAAATAACCCTAACATTTTTGTGGCTTTAAAATTTTAATAATTACACACACTCACATAACACTGTTGTGGTAGACAATTACTGTTACTGTTCAGCCAAAAATGCTGCTCATCCTGTGCTATGTTTGCCGACAAGAAGTTACACAGGATCTGCAAACAGCTTCATTCCTCAATTTGTGAAAACACAAGGCACAGTGAACAATCAACATTTTTTTTTAAATCCACTTGAAACAATACARTGCACTTTGGGATGCTTATGGGAATGCATGCTTGTGAAATGGCACCTTAACCACAAATCAAGCAATCAGAATCTATCTTGTATGTGTCATTTCTTTCAGGGTTTTTCCTGTTTTTCTACAGCATAACGACTCAGCAATGGCTGTAACATTCAATAAATATTATAACAGCCCGATGAATTCACATTCCTTAGAGCACTCCAACATGTCTGAGGCAAGAATATTTGCCTCCGCTGACAATACAACAGCTAAAAAAAACAAGCCACTTCAATAAGTGGTTTGGCTACAAGAGATCAGACCTGAAACAAAGTGCAATATTCTATGGAACATGCAAGGAAACTGTTACCTCTAAAGATGTAAGCATGACAAAATCGTTTTATCGTTTTAAAACAAAATCACTGTGGAGAAGCAGCAGAAAATAAAGGAGACTCGAGCAGCTGGTTACATCCAAAGGTAAACAAACAGCTCTACGAAGCATTGCTGCAATAATCACAACGTGCACTTAAAAAAAAGGAATAACAATCAGTTTATAGAAATTATTGATGCCATTACATTTTGTTAGATGGAGGTTTAAATGCTTATCCAGATAATGTTTATGTTGTTTTAGATTGACGTATTTTTGTTTTGTTTATTAGGTACCATATTTATTCATGTATAATATGATCTCATGTATAATACGACCCCCTTTTTTGAGTTTAAAAAGCATAAAAAATTTAATCCTCAAACTACCTCCAATTTCATACAGACTTCAAGATTTTTCAGCCTTTGCAGTCTTTATACATATCAGTAGTTTGCAAAAGTATTCATACCCCTTGAACTTTTCCATATTTTGTCACATTACAAC